CCGTCCTCTTCTTACTCCTTTAACGTCATCCCTTCACTCCCTTCCCGTTCTCCCCTCACTCCCTCACTATCATCCCTTCACTGCCTTCCCGTCCTCCTCTTACTCCTTCACCATCCTGCCGTCACTCCCTACCCATCATCCGCTGACTCCGTCACCCCCTCACTCCCTTCGCACCATCCCCACACTCCCTTTTTCCGTCATCCCCTCACTCCCTTCTCGTCCTCCCTCACCGACATCCCCTCACTCCTCCACATCATTCCCTCAATCAAACACTATCAGTTCTATCAGGTCGTGACTAGATACTCCAGATCGGCATCATTGGAGGAATCCATCTTCCCCATATAGTTCGTAACGGTACGACCAGTCGTAACTGTATTGCTTATCATAGGCTTATGACTGACTTAATGCCACGAACGGTTTGCTGATCGGGACCCTGGGCCTCGTTCCACAAAACGATCGTAGCTCTATGATGATCGTAACTCCCATTCTTTAACATAGACTTACGAATGTCGTAGCGCTAAGATCTCATTGAGGAAAGGGACCCAGGGCCAAGCCAGATTTTGAAGCTCTCTTAGCTCTAAGATAGTCGTAAGTTAATGTTAATGTATGGCACTTACGACTATCTTAGCGCTAAGAGAGCTTCGGAAATCTAGGCCCTGGTTAACAAACTCTCGTTGTAGACCTGGTTCCCGATCCACAAAGCGTTTGTAACGTTACGCTCTTTTCATAACTCATTTAATTATTGGCTTACAATAATGCTACTAACGCTTTGTGGATTGGGGCGCTAAAGTGTAATATCCCTCAGCAACTGGTGGTCTCGTAGATTGAGAGATCTGCAGCTAATTCCCGTGCAATGGATTTAATTCGCGACGAATGTCATAAATGGTGAAACATTTATTGATCTCTATTTATCTTTGTCAAATAGAATCAGTCCAGGATCCAGACAAGATTTAATCCGTCATTATTATTGACTGGTTAGGACAACATATGTGACCTGACAATTGAAATGTGAATGCACATGTCTTCAACAGACATAACTTAACCAGTTGCAATATTTAATCAATCAGACTGTACATTCCATACACTAATAATCCATCGTCCTCGCGTACTTCCCTAGTCCCAGCATCTGGATGACGTAGGTGTAGGCGTCCGAGGACCAGAAGGGGAAGAACTCGGCGTTGGCGTTGTAGCCGTGAAAGACGGTTGGTGTGTGGTAGCGACCCCAGATATGCTTCATCTTTTCTTGGTATTCCTCTTCTGGTATGACGTCTTCAACTCCCATAATGATATGACCATTGGCATGAAGAGTGGTGTTGACTCTTGTGCCGTTGAACAGTTCCAGTCGGTTCATCGGATACAGAAATGATTCCGTCTGCAATTACAATGTAGAGTTTATTCACAATCTCTGAGACATATAACATACACGCTCCATCAGAGTTCGGGTTTGAATTTGACACAGGCAATCAAAACCGGTAAAATGTGACCTTGATCTCAAGGTCAAGCTTGGTGACTGGTGAAAGTTCAGCATTGTACATTTTTGGATATTTCCTATTGTAGCAATCGCTGGATTATTTGGCCCATGTTCGATTACTTACAGGATGCTGACGTACAGCCAAACGCTGATAAACAACAAGCAATTAAGTAAACATACATGTACTCGACTAATGCATGTAATATAACTTACATTATTATAGCATGTGTATTGAACTCGCAACATAAAACTATTCATTCTCATGTCAAATTAGAATGAACTATTCGCATATCTATTAGTCCAACTGTACAGTTGAGACACAAATATGCCATCACCGTCCCCCCTTCCCATAATTTTTAAGCATACTCATAACATATTTTTGGGTACAAACTTGATTAACCCTCCCTCCACCGCCCCGCCCCCATTCACCTCTACCTCCCCAGAACAAAATGGGTGACCCTTAAAATCATCTTGAACCGTGATATCATTGAGTACTGCTCAAAGCGACGTTAAATTAAGTTTCACTGATTTCTTTGACGGATCTTGTGAATGTGACACCTTTGCGACACAAATATCCCATCGTCCATCCCCAGTGTCTGCGTCTGGATGACATAGGTGCAGGCGTCCGAGGACAAGAAGGAAACAAAAGAAGGGTGTAGCTGGTGAAGACAGTGATTGTATGGTAGCATTCTCTGTTTCATCTCATACTCGGACTATTATTTTATGGATTAATCCTCGACACCTTGTATATATTTCGCCTTGTGAATTTTCGGTCCGTTTATCCTGGTCAAATTACATTGCTCCAGTCGGTTCAGAGTGAGTATATTAAGTGATTGAGTTTAGTTCAACGCCGCTGTTAGCAATATTCCATACTATCACGCCGGGGACATCAGAAATGGGCTTCACACTGTATTTCATGTGAGGAATCCAACCTGGATCCCTTTTTTTCGAGGCTGAACTAACAAACAATGTGTTTAATAGAGATGGAAGCACATGCCAAACACGACAAATTCATAATTATTATGTCACCTGTAATCTAAATAATATCTATGAAACTCCATATAAAAATACTCCTAAAACAACTCTGCCGAAAGCATGTTATGAGAACAGTGGTATATTTAATCCACCTACCAATAAACCTGTTTGCATAACCTCGAACTGTTATTGGTAAATGGACATGTTAAGCTTGCACACGAGCTGCTCAGTGGCCTGAGACGCCAGGCTATGCAGAGTTGCGTCCCTTGGGCGAGACCGAAGACATCTGACACCTAAGAACATCATTTGGTCCCTTCCTCCAAAATTTAACTGACATGCCGCGATATCATTGGAATACTGCTCAGAGCGACGTTGAATTAAGATTAACTTATTTGCTTGAGTTATTCCAATGTTAGCGTAAGTCTGACACGTGGTACGGCTCTGTAGCAATGGAGAGACACCGTTGTCATGCCTTGTGAGGATGCTTTGTGGAATGGCTGGATTTAAGGGATTTTACGAATCATACTCCTCGTGCAACGACAGCCACGTGTCTCTATGAGGTTGGAAATATTTGAACAGCTGATCACCGACAGAATAGGACATAGATCCTCTACAATCAGGGAGTAAGGAAACCTCATTTTTATATTGTTTCAAAGAGTCTTTTATTCTAACTTATCATTATGTTCTTTTTATTAAGCAGAAATGTTATTATGCAAATAAATAATCGGGTTCATTAACAATAGTTAGAAAACACAAATTATTAAAAACATGACCCGACTTCAGTAATGAATGTAAAATAAATCTACGTAAGACATCGTCGACGTCAACAACAGCAATGGCCAACTTAAAAGAAATGTCCTCATCTTAACAACCTGTACTTTGCTTTCTTAGACACCTCTATCTTTGTGAAAAAAATTCAAAATCATGCTTTGTGTACATTTATATTCAATTTGGAAAATATGTATGATGTGTCATTCTGAAAGGTAAACAAGAAAAAAATGTGTCCAGGGACACGGATGCCCCCGCTGCTGTAGTAAGAGTTCCCTACACTGTGTGTGCTCTGGTGTTTAATTTCTACTAAATAAATATCATGGTTGATTTTAAAATAAACATATCCAAAGTGTCAAAGGTAAATACTTATTTGTAAATGTATGTCACAATGAACTTATCACAATACAATTCAACCTATATCATGAAGGTTCAATACAACCTATTATCATATAAAGATCAATAATTGAACAAAATTCACGAACAAGTTAAAAAAACATCTATGCAACTATGAGATGCATACCTTTCGAGTCCCAATAACACACATGTATAAGCTTAATCAATTCTATTGAGCAGTTTTTGTGGAGAGGTGGATAGACTTAATCCCTATTTCACTATCATCAGAAAGAAATTCAACAAAATGTATCTGAGTTCAAAATGTCTCAAAACATACAAAAACCTATAAAATACAAAACAAAATATGAGATGCACACCTTTAGAGTCTCTATAAAAGACATATGTAAGCTAAATGAGTTTTGTGCAGTGGGTTTCTGAGGAGAAGTGGATAAAGTACACCCCTGTTGTATGGGACAAACAGGATAGAACCAAATTCAACTAAGTTCAAACATCTGTAGAAGTGACAAAAAATTAAGAAATTGGATGAACAAGGTATGAGATGCACACCTTTAGACTCCCAATGAAACACACGTAGAAGCTCAATCAACTCTGTTGAGCAGCTTTGTGGAGATATATTCAGAGAGATATTCAAACAAACTTTATGTAAGTTCAAATGTCTCTAAACTTACAAAATAACAATAAAATACAAAACAAAATATGAGATGTACACTATTAGAGTCACAAGAAAGCCCATGTATAAGTTCATTGAATTCCACAGAGCGTTTTTTGTGGAAATGTGGATAGAGTACATTTCCTGTTTCGTACGGACGTACGGACGGACGGACACGGAGGGTAACCCTATATGCCCCCAGCCATCTACTTGTTAAAATTAGTTGACGGTGAAGTACAGTGCCAACGTTTAGCAACGCTCTGCAACCTCTTCTCAGACATCATACTCCACCCACCAGGAAATCACATGCCCTGCCTGATCCAGAGACTTCTCAAACCATGTCCATATCGTTCACGGCTGAATGGGTGATTGTAGTTGTACGCCGCTTGTGGCAATATTCCAGCAATATCACAGCGGAGGACACCAGGAATAGGCTCCACACATTTACCCATGTTGGGAATCAAACCTGGTCTTCCAGGCTTCCAGGCTACCCCACCGCCCTTTCAGGATTGTACGACAGGAACGCAGCTATGCTTTCAAAACGTACAGAGATATAAATTCCTGAATTATGTTTTGATGTTTTGGATTTTAGCATATCATTAGACCACGATTATGTGTAAACATCCTTTCAGTAGGGCTTTAGCAAGTGGTAGCAGTATTTCCGCCAATTTATTAGACCTTACGACAAATGGTGCTCTACTGAGTACTATTGTCGCCCGACTACGATGTACTAACACCCTACTAAACTGCTAGGAACTATGTAATTGGATTGTAATCATTTCAAAATGTATACGCATTCGTAACTCCCTTGTAGGAGCCGGAGAAAAATGCATTCCACGGTTCGAACCCAGCAAACAAACCGAAATAATACAACCAGGTGACGATTCTTTCAACTGTAGTCTTTACATCAGCAGGTGTATCTATGTATAATGAAAAACATATATGAGAATCTAATATATATAACAGATAGCGCCATCCTTTATCCTTTTCTTCCTTTATTACTTCCTTTCTTATGTGGGTGGTGGGTAGCCTAGTGGTTAAAGCGTTGGTTCGTCACGCCGAAGACCCGGGTTCGAATCCCTACATGGGTACAATGGGTGAAGCCCATTTCTGGTGTCCCCGCCGTGATGTTGCTGGAATATTGCTAAAAGCGGCGTAAAACCAAACTCAGTCAGTCAGTCAGTCCTTTCTTATGTACTACGTTTCATCCATTCTCATAATTCGAGATTCTTCCTAAATGCATCTGGTTACAATGTGGATCTTTGTATTGGAATAGTTTGGGTCCTCGTAATTAAAACATCTCGGAAATATACTGTCCGTATCTACTGCTCACCTACTGCTTAACATGGCGCAGTTATGCCCCTTAGTGTTCACGCGTGTGTGATCTCTCGCCGTTTGACACAATAGAGGTAAATAGATTTAGAACAAACCCTTTTTCGTATTAAAAATGCAATGTTATATATATTAATATTAAGTATGCAACTACATTCCATGTTTCGGTAGAAAGCCGAGTTATTTAGTGTTTTAACGCAAAACAAATTAAGAGTGAGTGAGTGAGTGAGTTATTGTTTAACGTCACATCGGCAATAAAACAAATGAAGACTGAACAGGATCTAAGTTTCAATCCGCCTAAGTATTTGCACTTCATTTTACACCATCGGAGAGAAATGTGACGTTCTAGATGTCTGTGAGATGTTAGAGTCGAAAGCAGATTAAGTGTCACTTCCTCAACGTTCACGCTTCAGGTCTTACACAAAATGTTTGTCAGAAAGACATCCAGGATACTGTGAGTCTCTACCTTTATCCCAGATGACCTTCTCGCTATTCTGGTCTTGTGTTGTCCAGGTGGTCAGTAGGGCGTTCAGGGCCATGGAGGTCGTGAATATGCGGTCCTCTGCGTTGTTCTGCAAAACATAGTTGTGTAATGTTCAGAAGTAGATGTTATAAAGTGCTAACCTCCGTCTACCGAGGTAGCTTTCTGAGACCCTGATGTCAGTAATTTTATCCTAATTCACAGATATGTTCTATTTACTATTCAATAAATCCCTCAACGAAGATGTACCAGTTGGAAAATGCTGAATCCATATGTAAAACACAAATGCAATTGTTGATCACTTCATTTGTATTATAGTGAGTGAGTGAGTGAGTTTACTAAAATCACAGCGTGGGACGCCAGAATTGGGCTTCACACATTGTACCCATCTGGGGAATCGAGCCCGGGTCTACGACGTGACTAGCAAATGCTTTAACCACTGGGCTACCGCCGCCTCCATTCATATTATAGGAGCGATAGTATAGCCGAGAGGTTATGGAGCCCGTCAAGGCGAAGGCGTTCTTTGGTCTTCAATCGTATAATCGATAAGTGATGTAAAAGAAAACTCCTTCAATACTTCATAATATCTCCTCATAACAACGCATAAACTTACCACACTTTGATTTTCATATGTTTTGTCTGCATTGCCAATGAAGTCGTCATAGTAGATGACGTCATAGCCGTCATGAGAACCTGAGTGGCCTTGAGCCACAACCCTGGGGCTAGCGTATGTTCTCAGTACACGCTTGAACTCCACAAGCACCTGTTCCATTCCCTACAACAGAGGCGTTTCGTGATATCGTCGCAGGTCGTGCGTTCATCTACTTCCATAACCTTTATATTGCGTTGTGTATCGTACAACCTTTGTCTGGCAATTTCCCAAATCTTAATACAGCTTGCTTGCTTGTCGATGAGCCTTTATATTTTGAACAGAGGTTTGCATCAACATGATTGCAGTCTTTACCAATCAAAGAGAATGTCAGCCTAAGTCTGTAATCCTCTGATCGCAAATTTTCAACATGACAGTGCCACTGTTAGGTCTCTTAAACAAATGTGGTTATACCCTCACCTTGTGAGGCAGCGATCCTGTCCTGTCCAGGGTTTCCTGGAGTTTGTTGTACGTCCTGGCCACAAACCAGTAGAACTCAGTGACAGAGGGGTAGTACGTCAACGCCAGGTCTGCTCGGTCAGAGAAGTTGGTCTGGACTTGGAAAGTGATCATCCGAGATGTATCATTATAGATTTGCTGAAAGGAAGAACACCTTACACTCATTGTGCATTGACAACTATGACTATCTTGGTGTCGTCCTATTGACAAATGATTTATAATTTGACAATAAATTATCTGGAGACTGGTATTTTGCGCCGCTTTGAGCAGTACAAAGTCCATGTGCTTAAGCTCTTTACAGATTCTTGTGGAAGTGATTTCGAAGTGATGAAGGTCGCAGACCTTTACGAAACCCACAAACACATGGATGCTTGTGAATGTAAGGCATATTGACAAAATAGATCTTGAAACTCACGATCATCGGTTTTGAGGCATATAAAAAGCGAATTGTGGCATTTGAGCGACTTGTTAACACATGCACTTCAACCGCGACAGGTCATCTAAGATAGATCATGACGTCGACCCAACGATTTGGGCAATTCTCCTACGAGTCGGCGGATTTAGTTTAATGTCGCTTTTAACAACATTGCACCAATATCACGGCGGGGGACACGATAAATGGACTTTACACATTGTACCCATGTGGGGAATCGAATCCGGGTCTTCGGCGTGACGATTTAAAGCTTGAACCTTTAGTCTACAGCCATATACCAAATTATGAAATATGTACTCCCAAATATGCATAGCTACATGAATTGACAAATGACAAACTTCCTATCAAATATGTATCGTAATGATTGAAACCCGCCACTTCATCTGAACCAAACATAGACGCACAACGCAAAACGAAATGCGCACACATTATGAGGGATTGTAATTTTTTATTAGCTTTTCAATGTAAATGTGCTTTTATTCTTTAGTCATATTCTCTGTGATATTTTACTTTGGTATCCGGGGAAACGGGCTCTTTATAAACAGTCACCATACATGATTAGTTTTATTTAATGCGTTAACAATTCATTCACCATCTCTGTGTTGAGGTGTTTATTGACTGACCATTATTTCGGGATCATCCAACAGCGATGGTTGAAAGAGCCCATTAATGATTCCATTGGTGACACCAAATATGAAGTTGGCACACACAGTGACGTCAATGTTGTTGACGTTAAATGGCATCATGACTCCCTTGTCGAACCAAATGCGTACCTCGTCAGTGTCCTGGATCTGTGTGCAGTGATAAAAACTTCAACAAAAACAAACTAAATACATAACATCAATACCAGAATGCTTTAATTATGATTCGAACTTTGCTGAACATGAGAATTTAGCGATTGCTCCAGACTGTCATTGTGGACTAGGATTTGCAGGAATGCATGATATTATGGACGCTTCACACGATTCTTGGCGTACGTCGTACGTGCATCAGTATGCTGTACATATGCCACGGCTACGATAGTTCATGTACACATGCAGCACGTACTATAGACCAAATCAGAGACTATAAACAAGGAGAATTCACAGGACACCTTCAGTACAGGCTGATTTATATGCCAGCTGTGTTTGGGCGATTTCGATGGGATTCGCGTGTTTTTAAGTGCGCATGAATGAATTTGTAAACTTATATTTCGTGCTGTCTTCTATACCACAAGCTGAATGCCATCACACTTATTTTCAAACGGGTGGCATTTGTGCGGAGCTGATTTTGGTGTGTTTAGCTTCTCATATCCCTGATATACTACTGAGGAATACGCTACGGCCCATCTCATGTCAGTGTCTTTCTGAGGCCACCATATGCAACATGTCCCACGACCCGCTATCAGTCCCTGATAAGTTCCACAGTAAAGTGTCAACATTTCTCACCTAAATAATACTCCTACATGTACAATAACATTAACAACACTGGTGAACGCCTTTAACGTAACACAACGTGACTCCTTGTTCCAAATATGTTTTAGAAAGAAGACTGTAATAATAACATTTCTAATATGATATCGATGTTACCATTCTACGCCCTTCTCACAGCCATGAATACATACCCATGTCGGCACTAAGGCTACATCGTGTCCGGCCTGTTTCTCCTGCTGCAACCACTGTCGCAAGTAGTAGTACGTCCTGGGGTCGATGGTGTTTACCCTTTGGTTCCCAGAGAACGGCCTGCACATTCAGGGGAACTGCTATCAAGACTTTGAGTACGTGCATGGTGATAATTTATTCATATCGATTGTCGGCAAGCTGATATCACTCTGTTTTGTCAGTGTGCATTTGCGTAGAATAGAAGGTTCATGATGAAAATAGTTTGGTCATTTACAGGTTCATTATTTGTAATAAGCAGGTAAACGTTACCAACAGTTAATTCGCAATAACATTATGGCAATATACAAAGGACATTGAAAGTTTCCCTGTCTTGATTTGGACTGTTGACTAACAGGGAAGCAACACATAGCACAGCATCAATTAACATATTTTAGTATGACCAGACCAGGGCCCACTTGCACAGAGCAATCTTAGTTACAATCAATCTTAGGGCCTTACAATCAACTTTACAATCACCATACAGTTGCCCTAATCCACTTGCACAAAACCGATCTTAGAGCGATTGTAAGACGGCATGTATTTAAGATCGCGATGGTTACAGAAGTGTTGTAAAGAATTCATGACAGGGAAATACGAATATCAAATAATATATCGAGAGAGCAGTTGTTAAATACTCATTCACAGTATATTAATGATATGACCCTATTGCGTTGATAGATATTTTTCTAAAAGTGAAATTAAAATTGAATCTTGATTGTGCACGTTAACTAATTTTTGATTACTTTAATGATTAACTAAGACAAAATCACTCCATCACCGAAAAGAAAATATCTTGAGCTCTGCGATTGGGCATGACAGACTCTACGGCAACGGCATAGGCCAGGGGAAACCACTCCCATCTTGCCCATAAACTAAAATTATCTGCTCTTGAGTTAATGAAAAAGTCACGGCCATGGTTTATTCGCACGCGGACACCATTTGCTAGTATCCTTCCTTCATCATCAAAAAGGTATGTTGTTTCACACTTATTCCAACATTGAATCGGGTGGGAATAGTACTTTGTGATATCGACTCGGTAGTTCTGTGGTTCACTACAGCAAATAACAATGTATCCGACGTTAAATCGGTTGTGCATTCTCCGTGTTGAAGTGTCGAGGCGAATCATACAGTACAGTTTTATGCAATATAAAAGCAATCTCCAAACGTAAAGCTGATTATTTGCGTGAAACTTGAACACCATTTTGTCACAGACTACAATGATCTTAGCTCCTTACAATTGGTCCGATTGTTTGATTGTAACTTACAACGATCTTAGCCTACAATCGCTTTGTGCAAGTCGATGGCGATTGTAGCCGAAGCCTAAGATCGCGATCTTATGGATTTACAATAATTGTAGCGCTAAGATCGTTCTGTGCAAGTGGGCCCAGGGCATAAAACACCCACCTTCCACTGTATGAGCTGTCACTTTGTCCACACAAGCAAGGAGTCATTCACTTATTAAGGTGCGTAAAAGTATCATCTCTAGCATACTGACCTGTAGGCGTAGTGCTTAAGGGCGTCGAACACAGACGTGAGATTGGTGTTGTGGCTCTCCACATCTTGTCGTAGGTCGGGTACAGGTGGGACATCTCTGACAAGATGGAACCAAGACCAATGTTCAGGAAGCTGTCATCGAAGTCCGGGGGGATGTGAAACGCCTGTGTGTAACCGCGTCTATGTCACAAAATACAGGAATACAAACTCGTGTTACGCTTACAAAAGGCAAGGCAGTTCTGTGTCTCATGGAGAGCACAACACAGACTACAGCAAAGCAATAACTTTGTGGGTTCGGTTAAAATCCGCTTTGAACAGTAGTTTGGGTTTTTTAACTGTCCTTCTTACTGTGTACAGGACTCCTAGAATGAAAGACACCGTAGACGTGTATCTCTAAGGTATCTACAGCCCTATACTTCAACAAGGAGGAAAGTTAACGTTAAGCATGCCTCAGACATTGACAACTTCGTTGAAACTATTGGGTAGGTGCATGTAACTAACAAACACAGAAACATAATCAAGGTGAATCTTAGATTCAAACCCAGTACTAATTCTGTTCGGTCGATTGCAAATGCCGTTTACAAGACCTCACTATCCGTGCTCCACCATGCCACTGTACACAGAATGCTGAAAAACTTGTTAAATGACAACTTGTTAATTGTTTTCTGGAGAGACACTGGTCTGTACGCAACGTATTATTGTCCACTCACTGGTCTGCCACAGCACCCTAACTAGTTTCTATAAAGTCTACATTGACATATGCAATGCCTGTGATGATGATGATGATGATGATGATGGTGATGATTATGATGATGATGATGATGATGATTCAACGCCCCTACAGCATTGAACCTCTGTGACAGCATGTCAGCTTCATGTTGTTTCTGTGTGTGTGTGTGTGTGTGTGTGTGTGTGTGTGTGTGTGTGTGTGTGTGTGTGTGTGTGTGTGTGTGTGTGTGTGTGTGTGTGTGTGTGTGTGTGTGTGTGTGTGTGTGTGTGTGTCGCATAGTGGTTAAGGCGTTCGCTCGTCACGCCGAAGACCCGGGTTCGATTCCCCAATGTGAAAAGCCCATTTCAGGTGTCCCCTTGTCGTGATATTGCTGGAATATTGCTAAGTTGTTTCAAGCGTGCCAATTGAAACGTTTGGGCTTATGGGGCCGGACACGACTATGCGCTATACACACAAGAGATTTCCCTACTTACCATCGTACTTTATTAACAATTTACGAAGTGTTATAATTGAGAAAATTAATACAGACCTGATTTCCATTAAGACTTTGATGATCCCCTCAACATTTTTTAGACCCAGCTTCTCGAGAAACGCATACGTTGCATTCAGTGGCATGGCGTCAGTCATTCTGATGAGGTCATTGAGGTTGACTGGGTAACTGTTGTAAGCTCCAAGAGTATCGTTGTATGTCTGAGGCCAGAAGGTCATCAGTGAGTTGGAATAGTTCACGTTCATATCATGATGGTTTTAATGGCATTTTAAACCATTGGTCATTTCTTCATGTGTCGGTCCATACGTGGTGCTGTTGATATACCGCCGTCCTTCAATCAGGCAAGCCATAATGTAGGTGGTCGCGAACATATTGTTGTCGAATATCCCGAAAAGGTCTCTGAACAATGCATTTTCTGGGTAACCGTGGAAGTTTAGCTTGACATCACTTGGCCACATTCCTTGTTCTTCATCCCATCTAAATGGAGGAAAGAAGTGCCTTGTTTTCGGTACTCTGAAGTTCCATAACCTGCAACGTCAAGGTGTCAATCGCCATTTGCAGCGACTGTAGGTCAAATGGAAGCCCATCGCTTGTAACGATTGGAATCAACAAAAACAATATGATTTTCTGTAGCACCATGTTGTACTGTTCAAATATATCTAAATGCGTCTCTATTAATGTGGTAAGCCTCGAAAACATTGCTTGATAAGATAAGAGGAAACACCTGATCGAGTATGTACGCAGGTGTCTTTTTCAGAATTTAGAGCAAGTCCTTACTATTAGGTACATTTGATATTTGAACAGACTTATGATCTTTTGAAACATGTTATAATTAGAATATATGTTCACGCCCAACACCGCCAAGTCATTTTGTATGCAGACTGTGTAGTAGTGACAGGACTTCAGTGTGGATGCCAGGTTGAAACATCCTCAGTATTCCATATTTGCTATATAAAGTGAGTGATGTGTGCATTGGGTTGGGTTGTAGCTCCTGATTCCATGATTCGTATACAACCACACACTCTCTTAGCGATGTATTCAGCATTATCAGCGAACACTTCAACCACGAGTCTATACAGCTATACACCACCAAATATGTGTCTTGTGTTGACAGTCCGTGGCAGGACTAACTGTATGTCAAGGCCCACCAACAACATTAACTGTTGTTCATTACATCAACCTCTAGTTTTACACATCCCTGTAGGCAACTGTATCACTCTTAGACTACCTGCCTATGGACGAAACAAATAGATTGCATTGTTTGAAGCAATCAAGAAAAAATAGCATACCACCTAGTAAACCGTTGTGGTCAATACAGTACATGCATATGCACTTACTATCAAATTGGATGTTTAATCATCACGCTCGAGTCAGTCTAAGGTCAAAGTTCGCTATGGATAAAGACTTAGTGAACATGGGAATAACTTATTCTTCATCATTGTTATTTTTGGCATCTGAAATTAATTAAAAACAATCGTGTTTGAAATATATATTTCATTTCACACACCGTACCTTTTACGGAATTAGTCAGGTTTTAAAATATACTCGTTGACTGATTGCTGAAATATTGCTAAAATCGGCGTAAAACCAAACTTGCTCACTCACTATGCCCCATTTGTCCCATAAGTTCGCATGTGCATGTTCATGGTAACATGATTCACGACCCAGACATTTATTGATGACCTAAGCAGCTACAGCCATGACCCAAAACGTGCCCCTCTAAGAGATAAACATATGCGCACCTGTCCCTTGTTCACATCGGCTTTCGTGTGTCATACATTATATATTCCCAAAAAACTATCGTTCACCATAGTGTCAGCCTTCACAATACATCATGGCTGTCCTAATGTTATGCTGGTTATTACTGACGCTGGTCGGTGTGTCCGCCTCCCCTACTAAGCAAGAGATAGAAAGTTCTATACGAGTCATGAGAGATCTTGTGGAAAATGCCCAGGTAAAGAAGGACAAGAAATACGTGCCTCTACTTGAATGGGCCGAAGACAAGGGGGGTCTGGCCAAGTTATGTGAAGCAGTACTTCCATGGTGTCCCTGACCTGGCACTGTTCAGACAGCTGTTTGGTGTGTTCGACAACAACATGTTTGCCACAGCGTATGTGATGGAGATTCTTGCAGAGTTTAGTAAATATGGGGACATGACGGATTACAATCTGGCGGGGCTCAACGCCGGTCTTGTCGCCATAAAGGATCATCGTGACAAAAACCTTGCTTTCAATAACTCGTTGATGACGTTCTGGCCACAAGTCTATAATGAAACCTTAAAGACGTGGGACAGCAGTCCTCGAAACTTAGTGGATCTTATAGAAGCGACAAAATATCTGCCTTTGAACTGGACGTATGCTGAGCTGGAGAAACTTGGTCTGAAGGACATAGAATACATTATGGTACGGCTCATGAGATCTAGGTAATGTCCTCCTATACGTACTATATACATAACCATTTATTCAATGTCATCTTTAATATCAGCGATAGAACACATTCCATTTAGTTTAACTCTGTTGTTTATCTTTTATTTGACACTCCAAGTCTATAAAACGCTGAAACATCTTCTTGGAGAAACCAGGACGGTGGGGTAGCCTTGTTGGCTCGACATGCCGGAAACCCGGGTTCGATTCCAAGCATGGGTACAATGTGTGAAGCCCATTTCTCGTGTCCCCCGCCGTGGTATTGCTGGAATAGAGCTAACGGCGGAGTAAAACGATACTCACTCACTCACTCTTGGAGAAACCATTACGTTATTGATTACGCTCCCCATTCCTTTCAGAGACGGGTACATGTCGGTGTTTCACGTGCCACCAGATTTTGATGACACGTTTCTCAATATTGGTCTGGGTTCAATGCTGAAGGAAATGTCTCAAACCTTCCCAGAGGCCTCTGACTTGTGGATGTCCCAGAACCCAAACCTGACATCTGTATTTGATGCTCTAAAGCGTTATGCCTACAGGTACCATCGTAGCCTTTACATGCTTGTGTATAGGTTCAATGTATGCATCAGCGTGCCAACACATAATAGGTCTTCCATTTGATCACTTGCAGGTGAACACTGTGTATAAGATGTTTGTGCACACATAAGCGGTTTCCACCAATATGCCAGTATGTAACACCTCTGTAACACCTTTAGTACACCATTCATCTGTTCAATGATCCGCTCTTGATGGGCTACAATTTGTATCCTATATTTGAACCCGAAATATGCCACAGGTTGAATATCTGGGATTATACGAGTCCACATTCTAGTGCGTTTTGATTTGAATCCATTTAGGACGTACAGGGAGAGTGTAAGCGCGAATTCCGGATGGGACTCAAGACATAAAGTAATAAAATATGTTCTATACTAAGATAACGTAATACCAAGTATAAACGCGTTTCTACATTTGAGCACTTTCTAAATGGCATTGTGTATTCGTATCAGAAATATATTCATGTTTCTATTTGTCTATTCACATTTTTTCCCATACAAACGGTTACATGACATGTAATAACGATCTGCTAATTCACACTAAGCCATCCCCTCTGACAGGTACACCCATAATGTAATATACATCAATTTGTTCCGATTGCTTCGACCCGTAATGCTCACACATATATATGCACGGACAACCGAGTTTTCAGCTTGTAACGCAGTGCTAAACGAAACTGATAGGCTTCCATGAATACAACGCATTGTTGGTTTACAAATCTCCTAATATGTGAAATCCATAGATACACACTGGCTTTTAGAAAGTCATCAAATGTAATGCATGTTATAACTGAGATAAATATACCATATGTTGCATGTGGAATACACACAGACAGGAACAGTTAATAACAGACAGTTTTGAAACTGTGCTTAAGAACTGTAAAATGCACCCAATTGCTTTATTCATGTGTATATATAATATACTCCAAAATGTAACAGCAACCAGAACTATACCTTTTCTGACGTGAGCTCCATAATGTCATGATGGAACTATGATGTGATCATTTTACCATGTCCATTAATAAAATCATTCAGAAATGTTATACCCTCTTCATGACACTGTGCAATATATATGGGCTTTTATATGGAATTGTTATACCAAACTGATTTGCTCATAATGTCTTCAATAGTTGTTTCTTTAGTATGTATGTATGTATGTATGTATGTATGTATGTATGTATGTATGTATGTATGTATGTATGTATGTATGTATGTATGTATGTATGTATGTATGTATGTATGTATGTATGTATGTATGTATGTATGTATGTATGTTTGTATGTATGTACGTATGTGTGTATGTATGTGTGTCTATGTATGTGTTGATGATACATTTACAACAATAGCCATATATTTTGATGCACACTTAACCTATGAATGAACAGAAGGGATAGAAAAATGGCACTTCAAAAGATGGGGAAAAATGATGTGATGATCTTATGTGCTTCAGTTGCATGTTACATTCAAGTCCGGGTAGAACCAACTCAAGGGGACCACACTTTTTAGTTCCATAAAATCTCATTTCGTTATATAGTCATTTCAACTGAAAATACAACAACAACAAAGACCAAGACAATTAAACAAACAAAACAAGCCACTGCTTCTGTCAGTTCGGTATAAGTGTGATCGTTATAAACGTACTTTCCTGTACGATAACGTTTCCGTGTGTTTGCACAGGCCATTATCCGGAGATCAGCGAGTCAACACGATCGATTCCCGATCGTACGTCTACCTGCGGAAGTGGCTGGCCCGGGAGAAGCTGGCTGGCAACGACGTCGCCCTTGTAACCACGTGGGTGAGTGGAGTACACATTAAGTCCGTTTCAATATAAATGTATATTAAAAAAAATTATGATCCTAGTAATATGCACGCATACACACATACACAAAGAAAAAGAAAATACCCATGATAAATAAAATAATATGTTTCTGATTTCTGTACTAGATCCAGGACACGGACGAAGTTCGGACCTGGTTTGCAAAGGGGGTGATGATGCCGTTCAATGTGAACAACGTGGACGTCACGGTATCTGCTAACTTCATGTACGCTGTAACAGCTGGCATCATCAGTGGCGTTCTCGAACCCTCCTTGTTGGATGACACAGATATTCTGGTAGATATAACTCTATAATCCTACATTCTATGTTCGGTACCCGACACTAACAGCGTGGTCCACACCTTCTGTTACAGAGATCCCGTTAGTGAGAGTACAGAGTACCACCATGTGGTAGATATCCGGATAGTGAGACTACAAAGCAACGTGATGTGGTAGATATCCCGAGAGTGAAAGTATAGAGCAACACCATGTGGTAGATATCCCGAGAGTGAAAGTATAGAGCAACACCATGTGGTAGATATCCGTAGAGTGAAAGCATAGAGCAACACCATGTGGTAGATATCCCGAGAGTGAAAGCATAGAGCAACACCATGTGGTAGATATCCGGAGAGTGAAAGCATAGAGCAACACCATGTGGTAGATATCCGGAGAGTGAAAGCATAGAGCAACACCATGTGGTAGATATCCGGAGAGTGAAAGCATAGAGCAACACCATGTGGTAGATATCCGGAGAGTGAAAGCATAGAGCAACACCATGTGGTAGATATCCGGAGGGTGAAAGCATAGAGCAACACCATGTGGTAGATATCCGGAGGGTGAAAGCATAGAGCAACACCATGTGGTAGATATCCGGAGAGTGAAAGTATAGAGCAACACCATGTGGTAGATATTCCGATAGTGAGTGTACAGAGCAACTTCTGGATGAAATAAAATTATAATAAGCTGTAAAATAAGTAATTGAATTAAATTTTCAACACATGTGATAATTGATAATACGGTGATCGTTGCTCCCATACTTTAACACTGATTTACGATAGCCGTACGTAGCGCTTTCTGAAACGGGGCCATGATATCTACTTGGGACGCCACATATATCAGCAAATCATTTCCATGCATGGTGACTACAGCGAAGCCTGTTTTGGGATAACCCATATACGCACTTGCTCTGTATTTGTGACAAACCGCTTGGGTAATATATGCTTTGTGTTGACATTGCAGCATATCTATAACGACACAACACGAATGCTCGCTTTCCAAATCCAGACTAATTTCTCCGATCGTGTTGATCTGGCGTTGACATACTATCCACCAGTCATTGAGTTCTACTGGTTTGTGGCCAGGACGTACAACAAACTCCAGGAAACCCTGGACAGGACGGGATCGCTGCCTCACAAGGTGACGTTGCATAGGCTACTCCAGTACAAATATATACAACTCTGTTAATCTATCTTTGGTACCACAGTTCTGAGGGCCCAGGTGTTTCAGTCGTATTAGACTAGTATTAATCTTCTTTTCGCTGCGAATCCGTATTCTTGACACACATCCGTTTCTACGTTTACACCTGTCCGTCAAGGATTCCACACGTATCCACACGTCTCTCTTGTACAGACGTGCAAACAGAGAATTCCACGGGGATCGAAATATGACATCTCAAAAGGCCCGATTCCATACTAACGTTTATCCCGCAAAACTCGGTTGCAAATGCATGAACGGTTACTGATGCGCATGAGCGTAGTTCCAGTGTATTTGCTACAAAACGATTATTTGTATTCGGGTGAGGATCCCCAAAACAAGTATGGATAACTGCTAAATACTACAGACAAGTGTAAGTGGTCCTTAAGGCTTGTTTGAGCGGCACTTTCAATATGGTCCTGAAGGCTCCAAAATGCACCCCGTGCCACTATCACAATGACAGCATTTTGTAAAATACATATATGTGAATTCCAGATCGTGTTCTGTTTGTCTATGTGACCACAATGACGAACGGTTAAAACCTGCACCACTTCCGGCTTTCCAAACACGCTGACGTTGTGACTTATCCGGAATATTGTTCAATGCGGCGCCACTCTCTCAGCAACTTCATAGTAAAGAGCAGCGGTCCACTTTGAGATTGAGCTGTTGATTAAATTGCTCTCCTGAAACCGATTATATTTGATTATTTCACATTATTTCATGTAATCACATTATGATACCATTTTAAACATACAACCTTATAATGCATTGCATTTCTTTAAACTGAAGGGAATGGACCAGGTTCTGAAGGACTTTAAACAGGTGCTGCGGACCTACGCTTCGCCTTGGATCCTGGACCAGCGGAAGTCTGAATCCCAGTCAGGTTTGGACACCGTCTACTACGATGACTTCATCGGTGACGGCGACATTACATACGAACACAAGTCTGTGGTAATACTCGCCACATTACGTGACAGCAATGTCCCAGTAATATGAAGGTTCGGGACACTTGACATGGGTTTCATACGTTGCGGGGACTCGAACCCGGATGAATGAATGCCTCAACCACCAGTCTACTCAACCGCGCAGTTTTCCATCAACTGTCCACTCGATAAGTTCTTGAATAATAATGTCGACTGATATTAGACTAAAGGTATTCCAAATAGTACTGGAGTGAAGGTATGTCGAATGATATGTCGAGTGGCACTGAAGTAAAGGTGTGTTAAGTGGTACTGGACTTGAAGGTATGTCGATTGGTAGTGGACTGATGAGATGGCGATTGTTCTGGACTTGAAGGTAGCACTGGGGTAATACTACATGTAGTGTAGAACACGCCTAAAGGAATGTCGAATGGGGCTGGACTAGAGGTGGGTATGGTAGCTTGACCACCCGATCCCGTTAGTCGACTCAAGCAGGGCTTGAGAAATAGAGAATAATGTGTACATTAACATTGCTCACTCGTGCATGTACATTCACAAAACAAATCGTTGACATGATTAGAGAAAGCAGCATGGCCAACTAGCTTCAAGTAAACATTAACATCATACGTATCTTTCAACGGAGATTGCATCGAGTTCGTTTCTGTTCCATTTTCAAAAAGGACATTCAATGAAAGCATTTATGTGACTTTTCATGAGTGGTATTTTGGACCCTTGTTTCCATAATTTATTCCATTATAATTCTCCGTCACCATATGGTATGTTTTATTCGAAACATGGTGGAACTGCATAATTACCAGTTCTTAGACTGGTTTCAAATCTTTAGAAGGTTTTGAAGTTCACAACGAAGGTCGGAGTATTTATCAAGTGCAGACATAATACTGATTTGATAGGCAATGATTTGTTTACTTCTTCTATGGAGATGTTTAATTGTAGAACAATGCGGAAGACCGTATTTTCACCAGCTCCATGGCTCTAAATGCACTTCTAACTATTTGGGCAACTGAAGATCAGCACACAGGGCAGATTATCTGGGATAAAGGTAGGTGCAAATATCGCTGTTCATTAACCTCGACAGTGACATTCATGTACACTATCTGTCAACAGAAATCAGTAAATGTTCGCGATCCTATATCCTCAAAAACGTAAACCACGTAACCAGATGCCATTACGTCACGTTTCTTACCTTAGTAAAAGTAGTTTCTCTTCTTGACGTGAACCGTTGTCAGCAAACATCCAATTAAATCTAGGCTTCCTGTTAAGAAACAAGTATGAGCAGGGCAAGCTAACGTTTAATGCCACACATACAGTCAGAAGCTTCAATGGCACTATGATATACAAATAGTCCACACAGGGCATTCACTCCACCTCCACGAGTGCTCTCTGTCAATAGATAAGGCTTCAAGAAAGAAATCACTATAGGTTTGCCGAACCCAGAATTCAGAGTAGTAATGTGCATATCAGTCACTATTATACAATGGTGTAACTGGGTTCCTGCAGAAGGAAGCGGTGCCACGGTTGAGCACGTCACAAAACACATACATTTCCCACAAACAGGTGACCGTGACTACAAAGCGTTAGTAGCCCCATGTCATTCAACACACAACGATAAAGTATTGAGTTACGACGGGTCGAAACGCTACGAACACTTCGTAGAACGAGACCCCGGCTGACGTTAGATCTTGAAGTCAGAATGAACTGTGGGATGGGACATGATCATTCATTACCTGTTAGGCTGATGACGTTTTTCAGTAAGTGTTACAATTATCTAACAATATGAACTTTCGTTCCATTCTTCCCACATTGCAGATACACCATCATTAGTTCAAGACACTGTGCAGAAGATTGTAACCTGGCTATACTTAAATAGCTATGGGGGCAGCTACAAACCATGGAACGCCTTCTTCTCTGGTTCAAACAAAGGCGCAACAGTAAGAAAGATGACATGGGTCAGAACATGTTCAAACTTGCGACTTACATACGGAGCTGTTTGGGCTAACGCTCTGTAAATGTGACGTTATGGACTTGCATGTGAACAAGTGTGTGGGCTTGCCACATCTACACGTACAAGAAGTTTATTGATGATATAAAGATACACCGTATATTTTCTGATTTAAATAGCCATCCTATCGTGTTTTATACAATCATGTGTGGTACATGATGTAACGGTAAATGGGTTTTGTCGCTCATGCCGTACACCTCAAACACCTGGGTTTGATTCCGCACATGACACAAGAGATTCGTTTTGGTTTTCGCAGTCCTTTTCTTCCTTCCAATAAAGGGATAACGGTATGCATTTTGTGTTCTGGTATTATGTAATGTGTTTCGAGATCAGTGTTTTCTGCTCTTCAGACATCGCCAGCAATGTACCCAGTGAACCGGATAGAGATGTTCAATGGGACAAAGATCCCTATCAATGACAAATGTAAAATAAAAAGGGGGCCCGAACCATATATTTTTGGAGTTGAGGGCACTATACCGGAAGAGACGTATGACAACATGACCAGTGAATGCCGTTCTCCTGTGGTGTTCCATGGATACAACGACCAGGATCGCTACTTTCCCTTCTGGACCTCTGATGCCTACACCTACGTCACTGTCATCACTGGAATGGCCAAATACGTCCGTACCCTACCCGAATAACAGTCCTCTCAGAAAATAATAAAAATAAAACAACCAACAAGGCCTTTAAAGGGAAGTTTGAGAAATTGCTTAGAAATATGAATTAGCGGGCAAACGAAAATCAAACGAAAAAGATCATTCGATGGTAATGTATTTGATACGCTACCGCTACAGCCATAGTGCATATATTATGTGTGTATTTCTAGTTACCTATTGATACGGGTTACACGTTGAAAAGGCCATATTGCATATATTATGTGTGTATTTAAGTATATCTACTTTCTTTATAAACTGTTTATTCATCCCTTGGCATATACATGTACAAACATTGTATATAAATATAGTACACATGAATATAGTTGTAATAGTAATGCATATTCAAAAAACAGTAGTACTAATGTGTGTCAAGTATGTGCACTAGAGCATCCACTATCTGTGGAAACAGAAAACAGGTCTGACATTTGCATGTACAGAGGGCAATATGGTACATATTAAAACAGCCATAGTGAATACATATTGTGTGTATTTCAGGATGTCTACTTACCTATTGATACGGGTTATATTGTTCTGTTTTTGGACATCAAATTTGTAGTTAATTCCTTTTTGTTTTAAGCCAAATAAAGAGCTGGTAACATGTGTAATGTTTGTTTCGATACGGTATTTAAACATGTACTTTGTTAAATGCGTACTTCACTTGTCAATGTATATTAACTACGGAAGTATTCTAAGAGGAATACACTTCTGGCGAAATCGGATGTCTCGAATGCTCCAAAACTCATCAATTCGGTCTCAGCAAACTCTTCCTACGTGTATCACTATTTTAAGGTGGTTGCATTGTACGTATTATATCGAATTTATGGTTGTCTCGAACTCAGCTTACAGTAACAGAAATTACATTTAAGAAAGTATATACAATGTGAAACTGTGTCTGTTGTTTGGTGTCTTAAACAGTCGGTAAGGAGGTCAAGGGTGAGTGGAACCCTGGATATGTCTGGGGTAGATAAAGGAATTTGACAGAATGCTCCCGATGCTAAGTCAAAAACACATAACGTAGAAGATATGGACACGTTTGGACTGCGTCATAGTAATGTCACCCACAAACTTTGGTTTGCTGTCGACAGGTATGAATACACATAGGGGCATGCATTGGTCATTTGGGGGTAGTCAATCGATAAATATGAAAACAATTTTCTTCCTGAAATCAAACATCGATTAGGTTGAACAATCCGACTTAAGTAATGAACAGATGGTTTATGTGTGTACTAGCGATATGTTATCTAAATATGCCACGGATAAGTGGCAATGGGCAGAACAACACATACATTTGAAAACATACATCGTGTGTAGATATAGGCGTGCCACTCCAGTCATAAATGAATCGGGGTCAATCACTCAGATATACAGAAATTACTTTGGGATCATTTTCCAAATGAATATTTTTAAAAATGTACATGTTCCCAAACCACTACACGATATGTTGGTTGATATGTACATACCTGGTTGCGACGTTGCAAGCAGTTTACGTGTTAACTCATGACGTTGACGTTGACGAGTTGATGGCGTGATCCAAGATGTTTGTATGGCCCGCATGCTCACAGCACGCTGTCGGTTCGTCACTGCGTTCCAGTGATCCCCCGCAGACGTTTTGAAACATTCTCATGGCTCGTTTCGTAGCATTGTCATGTGGAGCTTAAACATGCACATCACACTAGCAATCTCAGGTGACTGTTTGAGACTGTTTCTGCACATGTACGTGTCAACAAGATCATGCTTGTTCATAATATTTCACTCACTGCATTGTTAGGTGTGCTCAAGTCAATCACATCAAAACACCTTTCAAAATATTAACTTTGTTCTTTGGAAAATAGATCCCAAACACCACTTGTGTACTTTCTGTGTTCGTATGTTCTTATGAACAAAAAGAAAAAGTATACAAAATATCCTGAACGATATATCCCTAGGGAAAATCTCAGGTAAAAGAGCCCTGAGGTAAATATTTGACAGCATTTCCAGACATGATTTCCAAATTTCAACTTCAAATGTGATCCTCTCAACATGGCAGTCTCTCAGTGTCCAGACAAAACAATCACACCACTGTGTGTTGGAAATTGTCATTAGTCCTTGAACTGGGTAATAACATGAACTTCTCTGTTTAAGGGATAATTTCCCAGTATCACATGTACAAAATAAATTTGGGTCCTTGGCAGCATCAAACACAGAATCATCCTATGTGTGTAAGGGCACTTAATTTCTAAAATACAATTGCCACTAACTATATGTACAAGAGCATCAGGGCTCGATCCTAAATAGGAATAGTCTTAATAGTGTACGATACTGATACTGATCGTATATGGTGGAGCCTGCAAAAGCAACTTAAAACTTTTAGATTTTGTCCACCACCAAGGTCTGAGACTTTGTCTTGGGTCATTCAGAACACCTCCTGTTGACAGTCTCTATGTTGAGGCAGATGAGCCTTCCCTTACCCAACGCCGTATAAAATTATCTTTACAATATATTACCAAACTATATTTTATATAGTTTAAGCCTGCTTTAATTTAACGCTGCTTTAATCCTCTCTATGAGGATTTGTCCAACAAAAAGTCTTCTCTTGTTCCGCCTCTTGGGCTAAGAATTCAACCATTCATTTCTGCTGCTGGCATTGAGCTGGACAATATAGCTCCTTCCCGTCTTCTTTCTTCTCCTCCTTGGCAATTAGTGAGACCACAAGTTGACCTCACACTGACAAAGTTTAAGAAAGCAGAAAATAATGAATTACAATATTAACAAGAATATAATCAATTAAAAAATAAATATAATACATACAAATCCTTATTTACAGATGGATCCAAGGATGGTGGCGCAGTGGCTTGTGCCACTGTCATTGGATCCAGAACAATATCTTCCAGATTACCAAATAACAGCTCTATTTTCACAGCAGAAGCTAACGCCATATTAACAGCTCTTAAATATATTAATAACAATATATCATCTTTTCCGATTCTCTTTCGTGTCTTCAAGCTATTAAAAATCTTTCTTGCAAACATCCACTTTTATTAGAAATTATTGAATTGTATAATGAGCTTGCTACTGACCAATGCGACTTCGTCTTTTGTATGTTACACAGCCATGTTGGCATTTCTGGGAACGCAATGGCTTTTCTTGCTGCTAAGGCAGCACTCAATAAATCTGTAACACCACTTCTTATTCCATACTCCGATTTCAAAGTTAGCATTAGAACTTACATCCGGGATCTGATGCAGAAGAAGTGGGACACCCAGTAGGTATCAATAAATTACATGAAATAAAACCCTATATTGGTTACACCTGCTTGGGTTGTCAATCCAGATTTGAGGAGGTCATCATGCGACAATGTCGCATTGGCCATACGCGTTATACTCGCAAATACTTGTTAAAAGGTGAAGATCCTCCGTTTTGTATCCCTTGTGATGAGAGAACCACGGTCGAGCATCTCCTGCTTGACTGTGTTGAATTCTCCATCATAAGGGATAAATATTTCAATGTGAAAAATAGTTAAGGATCTTTTGAACACTTTTAATTTTCATTTAATCATTGGCTTTTTAAAAGAAATTGATTTAATAGATGAATTTTGAATAATATGTTCTGTAGATAGATGTATTTTAATGATTGGTAGTTTAGATTAGTAACTTAGATTGTTAGTGGCTGTACCCTCAAAGGGGGTTAAAGTATCGTGAAATTATTGTCCCCCTGAGAGGGTACGTAAGTCCCAAAACATTTCAAGTAAATTTAAGTCTACCAGGTTTTTAATCGTAGTATTTTTGTCGTTTTAATGTATGGCTAAATCTCAGTATAAACGCCAATGGCTGAAGGGAAGGTGTAAATCCAGCTAGGGTCCATGCAGGTAGCAAAGGTACTGTAAGTCCCCATGGTCCCTAGTATGGTGATCTACCTTCAGTTGTTGGCGATCTATAGCCTGTTTTTATCTTGTATTGTCCTAATAGTGCTATTAGTGTTAACCTTCCACACTAGTTTTAAATCTAATGGAGATATTCTTGTTGTTTTGCTATCCTCCGATGACAGGTTTTATAATATACACATATTCCATTTCAATGTAAAATGTTCTCGTCACGATATTGCTGAAATATTGCCGATGTGACGTTAAATATTAACTCACTCACTCACTCACTCATGGTGTTGCCCTGTACTTTCATTATTGGGTTATCTACCACATGGTGTTTCTCTATACTTTCACTCTCGGGATATCTACCACATCACGTTGCTTTGTAGTCTCACTATCAGGATATCTACCACATGGTGGTACTCTGTACTCTCACTAACGGGATCTCTGTGTCATCCAGAACGCCACTGATGATGCCAGCAGTTACAGCGTACATGAAGTCAGCATATACCGTGACGTCCACTTTGTTCACATTAAACGGCATAATCACCCCCTTTGCAAACCAGATACCGGTGTACAAACAACCTTAGCGCTAAGACTACCTTAAGTCTATGTAAAGGCATGGGAATTACGGCCAGCTTAGCGCTAACTCCACTAACCCACGTGGTTACAAGAGTGACGTCGTTGCCAGCCAGCTGCTCCTGGGCCAGCCATTTATGCAGGTAGACGTACGATCGGGAATCGATCGTGTTGACTCGCTGATCTCCGGAAAATGGCCTGTGCAAACACACGAAAGCGTTATCGCACAGGAAAGTACGTCAATAACGATCCCGCTTATAACCGACAGATACAATTATAATTATTTTGTTTGATCTGATTTTGCACTGTTATTGTGTATTCAGTTGTATTCAGACATGCGCACATAACGAAATGCGATCATGTCCAACTATAAGTTGTGGTCTCGTTGAGATCGTTGTATCCATCTCATCATAGTTCCATCAATCATGACTGATATCTTCTGTCAGCTTTCGTTAGAAAGGGGAATTAAACAAATGTAAAAGGTTTTATGTTTGTATTTTTCAAGGCACGCAAATCATCTACTGTACATGTTACATTCTGGAACGTATTACAGTATACGCGGAAA